CTGCGGATTCGCAACGTGTGAATCGCGCTAATGTGCGCTTCGCTTTATGTTTCAGGTTTTAAGCGGTCGAAAGAAAAATTCTTTATGTTCCTTTAGATCAAAAGATCATAAGAGAGAGCAGTGAGATTTAAACTACCACGTACTTCATGAAACTTCGTTTTTGGTTTTTTCTTTCTTTTCGTAGGAATTGTAGAAAAAATAAGCAACACCAAGAAAATTGTAACATTTAAATACTCCAATTAAAATTTGGTGCTTTTTCAAATTCAAAACTTGGCAACACTGGCTGTTCGTTGTGATTTGTTTATATGCAGTTGCCAAATTGTGATGAGCTATGAGTGTAAAAATCTTCCTGCCCAATTTTCTTTTCCACACTAAAGAAAACTGTGANTACTTCATGAAACTTCGTTTTTGGTTTTTTCTTTCTTTTCGTAGGAATTGTAGAAAAAATAAGCAACACCAAGAAAATTGTAACATTTAAATACTCCAATTAAAATTTGGTGCTTTTTCAAATTCAAAACTTGGCAACACTGGCTGTTCGTTGTGATTTGTTTATATGCAGTTGCCAAATTGTGATGAGCTATGAGCGTAAAAATCTTCCTGCCCAATTTTCTTTTCCACACTAAAGAAAACTGTGATATCTATGGAGAAATACAGATCAACGAAAACAATTCCGTATCATACTTTGTTATTGCACATCGTACTCATGAAAGCAGCAGCCAAACGGCGTCGGCTGGCAAAAACCTGCGCCACTTAGGACATATTTTCCGAGCTGGCCAAACCTCGGCATTACAGCGCCGTGATGTTGCTCTCAGCTTCGCCTATGACGAGGATACATCAAACATTTACTTGCTCAAATTGAGCATAAAACCTGCGGATACAACACACGCGAATGTCTTCCTTTATGATGTGCCAAAGATGTTGCAACTTCACCGATACAGCGTCAAAAACGCAACCAATAATGCGCCTAGTATTGAACATAGTAGTTTTGAAGGTCATTGTGACGACGACAGTGAACAATTTAATGATGTTAACATGTTATGCCGCCTATTGAACGAAAATCAGGAGGAGAATAAAAGATTGCATAAGCGTAGCATTTATGGTCCTTTAAAACGAACATTTTATTTTCTGTCCAACTTAATAACTAATACCGTAATTCTCTTGCTGGAGGCGCGACTTATTGTATCACTGCTGCGTAAGACAGTTATATATGATCACTATTTGGAATGGCGTCAATACCGTGATTCTGGGTGAGTTGATGCAATTTACATTTGTATATATATAGGTACATATGTACAAACATAGTCAGTTACAAATAAACAAATATTTTGCTTTTAGAAGACGTAAACTCAATATTACAGTGGACAAACTTCTAGGTGTTTGTGTTATGTTGTTTTTGCTTTTCTACGTTGCTCATCCTGGCGATTATCTGCTAACAACGTCACATGTAAGTTATAAATGTATTATATATTATTACGACATATGTCTAGACACAATTTTATATTTCAGCTAGTTATCCAAAAATTACGTCTGTTGTTACGATCGCTTAAAGGCAGTCCCATTGGCTTAAAACTAAATGAGCACCTTAACAATTTTTTGCTCGATTGTTTTAACTATCACATAGATTTGTGGGCCAAATTTTTGGGTATTTGTAGAAAATGTGAATTAGTAATTTTTAGTTTTTGATACTAATGTGAATAATATACATTACTGCAGATCTCATTGAACCGATCGTGCGTCAACTCTTCGTACCGATTGCACTACTTGGTCTTATCGGTTTATCTTTTCAATTATCATCGTTACCTTTTTTGATATCTATTATTGGTCTACATGCACATTGCTTTTATATATACACAGCAGTGTAAGTTGATCGCTTCAGGTGAAGCATAAAATATTATTTTGTTGCATTATTTTTAATCGTATTTTATTAATAGATTGTACAAAGTGGAAATCAAGGGCATTCAAGTACTCTGGAAAGTGATGCTGGGAAAACGGTACAATGTGCTCAAAAGTACATAAATTTGTATTATTTAATTCCTCGTGGTAAATATTTGAAATATTTGTATGTACATACATTACTTGCAGATCGTGTCGAATCGCATAACTACGTCAACCGCCAGCTGTACCTAGCGACCATATTTTTTACCGCACTACTCTTTCTTTTTCCAACTGTACTAGTCTACTACGTTGTATTTACGACTGTGAGTTAGATATATGTAAATTTATAAAATCTTCAGCCTATTTATAATCTCTTTTTGTAGTTACGCCTCTGCATTTATCTAGTTAATTTAGCCATTCAAGTATTACGTCGAAATCTTTTGGAATTTCCGCTTCAAAGGTTACTGCAGTGGACTATTGGTCAATTTTACGATATAGGTATTTAAGTTAAAAACATGAAATTAAATATTTTATTTACATCGGTTTTATTAATCATCTTACTTGACAGAGAGTATATATCTCGCTCATATACCACATTCGCCTTCGCCCTTGTTGCAGCCAGAAGCTACAAAAATACATATGTCCGTTTTTAAATTAAATATACAAAAATCGCCGTTGAGCAGGGTGTTTTCATGTGAAAGTGGAATCCTGCAAGATTTTCAAGCAGATGATAGGATGTCAATTAAAAATGCGTTTAATCGAATGCTCAGAGGAACATTTTAACGGTGTTTGTAGATCTTATTTCATCTAACCATGCCAGATATGAAAAAATCCGAGTCAAATGAAATAATAGTATTAGTTTTGAAAACTTACTAAAATTTAAATAAAATTTAAGGTTTTTATATATCAAAACAATGTATTAAACATGCCATTTAATTAATTGTAGATATGTACATTTAATATGCATGCCACAAATAAAAAAGGGGTGCATATTATAGTCGCAGGGTCACAATTTGGCATTGGGAGTTCGTCCGAAAAATCGAAATTTTCGGAGATTAGACCACAATGTGACTATGAACACCCCCTCAGCTTTGACTTAAGGTTCAAATAAACTTACTATGTATTTTTGTACAAAAACGCGATCTAAGTTTAATTTCACGGAGGAATAAACTAAATTAAAATTATCCTTAGTTGAAAGTTTGTTTGGAGTTCTACTATACCGTCGTTCGATTCGCGTCCCCACCAAGTTTTTGTACCAGCTAAAAGAGAACAAAAAAAAAAGGTTGTTTTATGAAAAATATTAGAATTGAAGAAACAAGTTCAGTAAACGTACATTTCTCAAAAAACAAAAGATAGTGGGCCCTATAGAGAAACTTATACTGATTGAAACATAATTTGTTTTTGGGGGAAACAAAAACTAAGTTTTATTCAAGTTCAAAGTTCAAAAAGTAGATAAAGTTTGAAACATTGTTTTACATGGTTTTGGGTAAAGCAAGAACAATATTTTTATAAAAAATAATAAAAAAAATTTAACTTGAAAAAAGCTACGAATATTTAAATTAAGGTACGCCACTTCGTCGTGGATGACATTCTCCTGTACTAGTTTAGAGACAAAAATATCCAATCAGCTGATCCATCAACACCACCTTGTATTGATGCGCCTTGGCTACTACCACTACCTGTTTGATATGCCTTGGTTTGTTTTATTTCCATAGTAGAGGAAAACTCTTTGCGCATTGATGCATCGATATACGCCCTCCGATGCCTCGACTCATATCGACGAGTTTCGATGCATCGTTGCGAGGAAAAACATCGATGTGTTTTTGCACCGACATACTTACAGCCTGATTCTCTATCTCGAACGAACAGCCAGATGAACGATTCGTGTCCAAACGAAATCGTCTGAATTCGGAAGTCTCTATCTCGAATGATAATTTTCGTCCATCCTTACGTTCTTACGTTATTCGCCCGAAAAGATCTGTCAAAATTGCTTTGTTTACTTTGGTGTATAAAAGTTCAAAAACNTTACGTTATTCGCCCGAAAAGATCTGTCAAAATTGCTTTGTTTACTTTGTGTGTATAAAAGTTCAAAAATACAATATTTTAATACAATTATTTAATAATGTATCAAGCAATAGCACTTTTGAAGTGAACGTTCGGACGAAGGCGAATTGCGGATTAAGAGGCGGAGGCTTCGAGACAGTACAAATGTATTAGAATTGCCAGACGCCGAGTAAGTAGACGTGCATTTCTAGCATTCCGGACAGGCATGTTGGACGCATTTTCCGCAATTTTCTTCTTTTTGCAGCTTTTAAGATCAGCCAAAATCTGGAAAAACATTACAAGCTCAATTGTTCATACAATTTACTATTTATAAAAAGGAGTTACCTTTTTCCATTCGGTAGCTGTGCGGAGGTCCATGTGCGTTTAATTTTTTGGTTAATTCATTCCACTGCAGTTCTACCAGGCTCTTACTCGCACCAAACATTGGAGCGCCTCTTGCCAAGTCTGGATTTTTCTCCAGCTCTTTTACCAGCACATCAAACTGAGCACTGGAAGTTGTTTAAACACTGTAAAATATACTAAACAATTAATTATAATAATACGAATGTTTTTTCGATTATTTCTTGCCTTTTTTTGCTTGAATTATCCATTTTAGCGGCTCGCACGATAGCAAAAATCTTTCGTTTGAATTTGACACTTTTTTTCTTTATTTGAAGTCGTATTCGTGTTAGAGAATTCACATTTGTTACGTTTTCGTCACATAACAATCAGCTGTTATCGACTAGTTATCGCCAGGGTAGTGAATTCGTGTTAGGTAGTACAAATACACGAACAAACGGCTGTTTGGACGAGACGAACGCTCGTTTCGAGATAGAGAATCAGGCTGTTAGGTACCAGTGCTTGTGCGAAGTAGGCACCCTAAACTTTTTTTAACCGAAGAAATATGACCCTGTATTTAGCAATCTATTACTATTTATCTGGCAACTGCTGTCATCTGTCACACGTTGCCTACATAAATGTGTGAATGAAACAGTGCTAGTACACCTAAAAAAATTCTAATTTACTTCAGGCTCGCTGGCCTGCTGAAGATTTTTACAAATCTCTAAATTCGAGCAAAATGTCGGGATACATTGCCAGGAAAGGACCCTTGGTCTTCTGTGAGTATGCATTAGTACATTATTAAATAAACAATGTGTTTCGTGAAAGCAATTTTCAATTAATAAAAGGCAACTTGCTTTACAATCATTTGATTACGTAAATTGCGTTATATCAATTTCTGTAAATAACTAAGAAATGTTTTTCTATATTTCAGCAAATTTGGGCAAATGGGCCTATAACTTGTCCGGCTTCAATCAATACGGTGAGTTACAATCGTAAATACCGACCTGTACAAATATGTTGATCTATAATTAACCTTCAATTTTGTGCACAAACACCATGCTACTCTGCATATAGGTCTGCACCGTGATGATTGCCTCTATGAGAATGAGGACGTTAAGGAAGCTATTCGTCGCCTCCCCCGCAAATTGTACGATGAACGTAATTATCGCATTATGCGCGCTCTGCATTTGTCCATGACTAAAACACTATTACCCAAAGAACAATGGACCAAGTACGAAGAGGACGTTAAATATTTGGAACCCTATTTAAAGGAGGTCGTCAAGGAACGTGAGGAACGCGAAGAATGGAATAAAGACCATTAAAGCATTGAGTGCATAATTTTTAGTTTAATGTTAAAAAAATGGACTTATTTGGAGATGTGTAAACTAAAGAAATCCAATAAATTAGGAAATTTAAATTATTTAAAATGTTCTTCCAAATCGAATTTTCCAGGCGTAAAGTGTAGAAATGCAAAGCACATCGGTAAAGGTATACTTTTCCTTTTCCAGACCATGCCGTAAAAAAGAGAAACATTAACTTGGCTAAAAAGCTACAGTAAATAACTGCTTTTAAAAACTTCGTATATTCAGAACTTAAATTTCGTACTAATGTAATGTAACCAAATAGTAATTAGGGGATTCACTAGATGTCTTAAGCGTAGTAAAATTTTCCAATGTAAAATAACGGTCAGAAGGATTTTCATTGAATCCGAATAGCCACAAACGTAGCGTATACTTTGTATTCTGTGATAGCACCAAATATTTTTAAACCGATAGAAANATTTTCCAATGTAAAATAACGGTCAGAAGGATTTTCATTGAATCCGAATAGCTGCAAACGTAGGGTATACTTTGTATTCTGTGATAGCACCAAATATTTTTAAACCGATAGAAAATATGAGGCCACGACAGTCGGGTCTACCGAACCGGAACAACCTAGATTTATATCTGGCCAAGGACTGTCGCTCCCTAAAAACTCTTTGGGGAATTTGTATGCTGTTGCAACAACATGAGGCAGTGAGAGCTTATGTGCTTATGCTATTCCTTAATTTTAAGGTACAAAGGTACATAGAGTGCCCTAAAATTAAAGATAAAGCGACATTTATTTCAAAATTTAGCAGGTTTTCCGGCCTCTGCGTAACTAGCTCTTATTATGCCCTGTGAAATCCCTAAAACCGCTTTAACGGTTATTTTATATTGAAAAATTTTAAGACTGGCATTACGTCTTGTGAATCCCCCAAATATCCAGAATCTTTCTGTATTATGGGTAAAGATTCCCNATTTTCCGGCCTCATGCGTAACTAGCTCTTATTATGCCCTGTGAAATCCCTAAAACCGCTTTAACAGTTATTTTATATTGAAAAATTTTAAGACTGGCATTACGTCTTATGAATCCCCCAAATATCCAGAATCTTTCTGTATTATGGGTAAAGATTCCCACTCGAAAATATTCCAAAAAGATGCTTTGCTACTCTATTGGAAAACATTTTGAATACTTTTAAGTAAACTCTGTAAAAACTAGCCTCTACAATTAGCTACAGAGGAACTTACCTTTTGGATCAATGGAGTATTCAAAATTGATCCTAGTACCGGTACTCGCCCCAAGAAATTTACCGCCACGGGGAAAAATCCGCTGGAATTTTGAAGAGAAAGTTTATAATATATCCCCTAAATCATAAAGAATATAAATACCTGAATAACACAAAGAATCCATATAACTCAATAACCATTCCGATCATTGGAAATCCCAGCAGAACCACAAAAATTCCGCCAAAAAATGCTGTGGTACCTTTAACTTTGTGCCGTTGAAAGAAAAACCTGAATGTGCGTTGAACTCCAATTACACATGCGAGACCACTTAGGAAGAGCAACTGAAACAATGCGAACAAACAAATAGAACTCAATGAATGCATGTAAACAGTAAAATTTCTTACGTTTCCTATGGCCAGCAATCCTTTGTCGAACAGAAATAGAACACCCAAAAATAGGAATGAGACACCAAATCCAGCCAGCCCAATACCGATTTCTATAAAAAACATAAAGCTTACGATTAATTAGTATCATTTGAAAACAATAATACACCAAAAACATGAAGATTCTGAATAACAATTGCTGTGTGCACTTGCCTTTGAGAACAATTCGGACTTACTTTGTAAATCTGTAACTTCAATCATAGCGCTGTATTTCTAATGTGTAATATTTAATTTGGAAACAATCAAAATGACTGTAATTAGTTAAAACATCAGCGCCTATTTTCGGCAAATATTTGATTGCTTCCACGTAAACTGATTTCTTTTGGGTTTGGGAACAGCTGATTGGTGCTCGCATGACATTTGTTTTTTTTCTGACAACCAGTAAATATCATTTTTCAACACTACAGAGGCGAATTTATACAAGGTGGCAAGTCATGGGTGGCAAGGATGGTGGCAAGGCGAATTTATACAAGGTCAAGGTTCTCTGGTGTTATCGGATCCGCTGATTTCACGGCGAATTTGTACTTCTGTCAAAATTATGTATTTGTTGTAATTTTGTTTTGTACTGATTGTCAATGTGCGTATAATTTGTTATTGTAATTTATGTGTATTTTGGCGGTGGTTTATTTCAGTGATTTTTAAGCGATTTTCAATAAATTTTTTGTGCAAATATAATTAAGATGAAGTGCACGGTAATCGGTTGCAAAAATACGTTCAATAATAATAAATTGGTTAGCACAAACATGTTCGCAAAATACCATCAAAGTCATATTATGAATTTTTGCAGTGTTAAAAAATAGTTGGTTGTCGTTTCAAAGTCTCCTAACATTTATTTACCCAGCCAGCAAAATCGTCGTAAACAAGCTCGTAATTGGATATTTTCTCGAAGAAAAACCGGATTAAAAATCGTTTATGATAGCTGTTTACGACTCTTTTTCGAGCACTTTTTCGCTTTAAATTGTGCATCGTCTACGAATAGTCGTAAACGGATCGAAAAAGCATTCGTATGCGAATATTTTTACGTCCGTTTTTTAATTGTAAACGAGTCTCGTAAACGATTAATTTACGTTAAAAAAGCGTTTTTTTACACTGCTTTATCTACTGTTTTTGAATGCTAAAAATAAAGGCAATTAATTNAATAAATATTTATAGTGCCGGATCAAAGTATTGGCACATAGAATTTTTCGCAATGTATGCAAAGTTTTTTACTTGTATTTCTTTTCGCACAATTTTTTTTTGTAGTTAGTATGAAGACCTACGTTCAAATCAGATTTTTGAGAAAAATTCTAAGTATGCAGTTTTATAT